ATCGTCTCCGTATAGCCACGGCTTTTGAAACAGCACCGGCGACCGAACGGGTTAGCCTCCGTTGGCTTCACACAATCCACGACTACCAGCGTTATAGGTGCCCGAAGCCCTATCTATCTGTTGCTGGTAGTTAAGCTGTCGTCACAGACCTATCCGAAATGACCGCTGCACGGCCGGAGTAAATCGACTAACAGCGGGGTGGCCAGTACCGACTTACCGCGATCACCCGACTCGCATGCTTTGGTATTTAACCCTCGCCGGCCGAGGGGGGGGGGGCGGGTGCCGCCCCCCCCATAGGGTTTTTTCGCGATAGCTCCGAACACGCTGGCGATAGAGAGCTGAAACTTGGCATACCTGACCTTTGATCCAAGCCGCATCTTTTGACACCAACCGCATTTTTGGGTCAGGTCAGGTCACTGACCTATGACGTCATAAGTGAACCTCTGCACGGTCTTCAGATGTCGCAACTTCGCAACGCCCTCACTGCCAGAGGAGATGTCACAGGGAAATGAAACTTGCAGGATCTAGTATCCATTATGAGTCCCACAACTTGTATATCTCGGATTTTTTCTAAAGGTCATATGAGGTCAGGTCATTTTCGTGACCTCACCATTATAAGTCAATGGGGAAAAATGAAAACTGCTATTCTGGCGCCGGTAACGATCTCCAACTATCTCAAGCACACAGAATCGTGATTTTATGCACTCCTTGCAAGGTTAGATGCGTCACTTTTGCAATGTTGACCTTGCGTGACGTCATTTATGACGTCATCAAGGTCATATTAGTTTTTCGTCAATAACTCTTGATCAAATTGAGCTAGCGAGTCGGGAAAGCCACCAATGGACTCAGGAAGACCTGCCGAATCGAATGATATGCGACATGACCTCTTTCGACCAACTTCGTGACCTGGGGGTGCTGACCTGACCTTGACCTGAGGTCAACACCCCAAGTTGACCTGACCCGGACAAAAAGTATATCATTCGACGCGCCTGAGCGAGACGAACACGATGCTGCCAAAATCGGCGCTCTGCGGCCGTTTTTTGCGAAGTTATTCACCAAAAACTGAACCGTACCTTGGGGCACTTGACCTGACCTCAGAGGTCACCGGTTGACCTAGGACCTTAAAATCGGGTACCAATCTCTGCGTCTCGTAACGGCGCACACGCTCGTTTTTTCCGCGACGCGCTAGCTCCACCAGGGGCGAAACGGCGAGGGGGGGGGTCGTACCCGCCCCCCCCCTCGGCCGGCGCGTATGTAGAAAACCAATAGGTCCGGCGAGGGTTAATGTTCACCCCCGTCCTGCAGCATCACACGTTTCTTCGCGGGACATTACTTAACCGGCGGCATACGTCTCCTCGCTGGGACGCCTGGGGTCCTAACCATCTCCGAAACTACCTACGTCGCTTATCGAATGTCATCCTGCGCTGATCACTCAATGGACCGATAGCGGACCTAACCTATCTTTTAAAACCGCGCGGGGTCACTAGGTCCCTCCGGGCTGCCTGCATCGTCTCCGTATAGCCACGGCTTTATGGGGCCCGCGCCGGCAACCGAACGGATTAGCCTTCGTCGGCTATGCACTCATCCTCAATAATCGATCCTCAACTCGCTCTCATCCTTTCTCTTCACTTACCGACTTATTGCACGTATCCAGGGCTTACCCAAGCGAGGCCTACTATTTAAGTGGGGTCTATCCGAGCTGAGCTTCATTCAGGAAATCCGATTCCTCTACGTGTACAGTCTTCTTCCATTTCACTCGCTTCTCATCTCCCTCCTAACCCGTAGCCGCGTCGGTGGACTTTCCACGCACAGGGGCGTGACGTGCATCATCTATCTCCCCGGTTCCGCAATCCCTATTCATCAGATGATTATGCAGTTGGACAGGTGCGACTTTGTATATGCGTGTTGCTTGTGTGCGGGACATTGGTGAATTGCTTAGGAGGTAGTACCAGGAATCCACTGGCACGGGTTATGTCAAGGACACTTGGGATATGGTAAGGTAGGAAATGGGTTAGCCGCCTCAGCAGCACATGGAATTCAACCAGTGGAACCCACCAGTGTACAATGCGTTCGGTTAGGTCCAATGTGCGTGCACAGTCCTTGTATTCGAACCGTTGGATAATTTGATGAGGAAATAGTACCAGGAATCCACTGGCACGGGCTATGTCATGGAGCTTTGGAATAGGTATGGTGACGTAGGAAATAGGTTAGCCGCCTCGGCAGCACTTGAAAATCAACCAGTGGAACCCACCAGTATAAAACGAATTCGGTTAGGTCCAGTATGCTTGCAGAATCTTTGTATTCGAACTGTTGAATGATCTGATGAGGAATTAGTACCAGGAATCCACTGGTACGGGCTATGTCAAGGAATTTTGGAATATGGTGACGTAGGAAATAGGTTAGCCGCCTCAGCAGCACTTGGAAATCAACCAGTGGAACCCACCAGTGTGAAATGAGTTCGGTTAGGTCCAGTATGCTTGCAGAATCTTTGTATTCGAACTGTTGAATGATTTGATGAGGAATTAGTACCAGGAATCCACTGGTACGGGCTATGTCAAGGAATTTTGGAATATGGTGACGTAGGAAATAGGTTAGCCGCCTCGGCAGCACTTGAAAATCAACCAGTGGAACCCACCAGTATAAAACGAATTCGGTTAGGTCCAGTATGCTTGCAGAATCTTTGTATTCGAACTGTTGAATGATTTGATGAGGAATTAATACCAGGAATCCACTGGTACGGGCTATGTCAAGGAATTTTGGAATATGGTGACGTAGGAAATAGGTTAGCCGCCTCAGCAGCACTTGGAAATCAACCAGTGGAACCCACCAGTGTGAAATGAGTTCGGTTAGGTCCAGTATGCTTGCAGAATCTTTGTATTCGAACTGTTGAATGATTTGATGAGGAATTAATACCAGGAATCCACTGGTACGGGCTATGTCAAGGAATTTTGGAATATGGTGACGTAGGAAATAGGTTAGCCGCCTCAGCAGCACTTGGAAGCAACCAGTGGAACCCACCAGTGTGAAATGCGTTCGGTTAGGTCCAGTGTGCGTGTAGAATCCTTGTAATTGGCCGTTTGCTAATTTGATAAGGAAATAGTACCAGGAATCCACTGGTACGAGCCATGTCAAGGAACTTGGAATGTGGTATAGCAGGAAGTAGGTCAGCCGCCTTAACAGCCCTCGGAAATCAACCAGTGGAACCCACCAGTATGAGACAAGTTGGGTTAGGTCCAGTGTGCGTGTAGAATCCTTGTAATTGTGTACTGTGTAAAATAAGCAGATAAAGAAAACTGATCGTTGCAAATTACTGTGACGAGCCAGACACCTTGAAAACGACCGCTTTCCCGACTGTGTGGCTGGCATATGGCCTGTTATGTTCTATCCTCCGGTCCCTGCCCTTCATCACTTGTCACACTCGTATTACGATATTTACAAGTCCCATTTATTTACATTCTCCCTGACACAACGCTTTTCATTCCTTTACATGCCAAATTTTACGAAACGTTCTGGGACCAGGCCGTCCAGCAATTGGAACTCACACGCCGAGCGGTGCGGCACAAAGTCGCGTCGTCCCTTTCCCGACTCCCCACGGTGCATAATCCCCTCCGTCCGCTTAAATCACAACGGGGCGCCAGACGACTGAAGAGGGCCCACGTCGGCACGCGTGTCGCACTACGCGCACAGTTACATAATTGACCGAGATCGAATTGTGAACTTAAGCTACCTAGACTGAAAGTCCCAAGAATAAATCGAACTACCTAAGCTGGATAGCCTAAAATATTGCGGACGACACAAAAAAGGGGAATATAATGTGGCTCACATAGCAGTAACGAGGGAGGGGGGGGTGTACTTGAAGGATTTAGGGACTAGGTGCGCACCCGTGTTCACCGCGTGACCTTACTTGAGATGGAGTCGCTGACATGATGGCCGTGTCCGTCCAGCGCCCGGCCCGGCGGCCAGAGCCGCCGCCGCGCCGGCGCCGTGATGCCAGCCGCTGGTGTCTCGTGGGCTGTCCGCGATGTCAGACGAGAGACGTGGGCCGAGAGTGCCACCGGCGCGGGATGCGTCGTCCGAGAGAGAGCCAGAGAGCGCCCAAATGCGTCGTCCGAGAGAGCTTTTCAGTTCCGTTTCATCAACTTATACTTCTGATGACGTCATACTTCAGAGGGCCGGGCAGCATCACCTTGTCCAATCTCCGTCCTCCATTCTCAGAAGCTGCACTCGGCTCCGCCCTCGAAAGTTCGTGATTTGCTGACAAAGTTCGGTTCCCCTCCGGCCATGGCAGTCGCACCCTTTCACGCAGCGACCGGGTGGAATTCGCCGCCGGCGCTCACGGCGCCTGAGGCGCCAGGTGGCGGGCCTGGCCCTCTGCTCCCCTTGTTTGAAGTCAGGTCCGGCCAGATGTCCTATATTTTGTCGTTGGCGACCGAGTTCCATTTCATCCTGTTTTCGTACAACCCGGGTCGGTCTCCGCTCCCCTTTCTTGTTTTGGTTCAAATCAGGGCCGGTCTGCACTCCCCTCTCCTTGTTCTCTGGCGGGGTGCCGAGCGTGGGACAGAGTCTTGTTTTCCAAAGGCTAAACTGATTAATGGCTCGAGGCTGGCAGAATGGCGCGTTTCGGTATGCTATTTGTTGGCTTCAGATCCGGGTTCTCATGAAGTGGGGTGGTCATCTATAGAGGACCCCTGTTTGTCAGAGCCTACTGCGCCGTCTGTGTGGACGCCAGCTGGGACGGAGAGAGGGTATCACAGCCGATTTAGCCGGCTGACCGTGTCTGTGCGGCGCTCGCAGATGGCCGTGTTTCAGCTTGTGGCACAGCTTGCAGTTCAGCATGAAAGATGAAAAAAATGTAACGCATCTGCGTTACAATAACATACCCTATCGTTTACCCGCCGCCGGCCATGCAGCAATACACAGACACGGTTTCTGTAATGTAAACAGATGCATTCTGTGTACTCTGAGGGGCCGGCCAGTCGCACTGTACCGGTCAGTTGGTGGTGCAGTGGGCCGCTGGTCGCTGGGGCTTAGTCCGCTGCCTGCTGGTCCAGTCGCAACCCCATCCACTCAGTGCCTTTTGTGTCTGACAGAAGAAAAGCGCAATGGTCGGCCGCGGCTCGGCGCCGCTCTGGGCCGTGCTGCTCTGCCTCAGTGCGCGGCTCGTGACCGGCGACCAGGACCAGCAGCCCTCGGCGCAGCTGAGCTTCACGCCCGACGAGCTGTGGAAGCTTATCGGGCAGGCGGTGAGGTCCGAGGTGCGGCTGATCTTCGAAAAAACTGGATCTGGAGAGGCGGCTGGAAACACTCGACTTCAGCGTGACGGCACTGGAGTCGAGCGTGGAAGCGCTAAATTCCCGGCAAAATGTACTCGATGCCAGAGTGTACGCGACGGATTCCAGGCTGAACTCAAAAGGAGACACGCTTGATGCGAGAGTTGATGACCTGGCTTCGCAGTTATATCGTCGTGGCTCTGAGTCGGATACAATCCCCGCTAGGCTGGACGATCAAAATCATTCGCTGAAAGCATTGGGCGCATCTATTGAGAGCTGCCAAGTTCAAATGTCAGAATGGACAATAAAACTAGACCATCAGCAGTCGAGTCTGGAGGACCTCGTCAAAAAGGTGAGCCAGAATTCGGTCAAGTTAAATGCGACGAGTGGCCTGCTGAACCAGTCTTTGCAATCCTATTACATGGAGGGTAATCCAAACGATTGGCGTCCACGTATGGAAGAGCTGGCCGAAAAAGTAGATAACATAACCTCGCGCGTGAACAAGATGGCCGCAAGCGGGCCGCAGCTGGAGCAACTGACGGCCGAAAACGACATGCTACAGCTGACACTAGATGCGGTCAATGCCGCACTGAACGCCAGCCGGGGTCAACCCGCCACCCCGCTGCCCCGGGACTGCAGTGACCTGCCAGCGGGCACTGCCAGCGGCATCCACGTGCTGCAGCCAGGCCTGGACCGATCCGTGCCACCCACCCCGGCCTTCTGCGACCTGGAGTCGGACGGCGGCGGCTGGACCGTCGTCCAGCGGCGTGCCGACATCCTGCCGCGACAGGAGTTCTATCTCGGCTGGCAGGCGTACCGCGAGGGCTTCGGCGAGCTGGATGGGGAGTTCTGGTGGGGCCTGGAGTCGCTGTGGAGGATGACCGGCTCGCGGGACAGCCGCTACCAGCTGCGGATCACGATGGAGGACTTTGACGGCGAGAGAAGGCACGTGGTGTACGGCACGTTCAGGGTCTCCTCGGAGGCGGATGGATACCGGCTGGCCGTGGGTAACTACTCGGGGGACGCAGGAGACGCTCTCAAACGCCATAACGGGTACCGCTTCAGCACAAAGGACCGGGACAATGACGTGCACTCTGCAGGCTCCTGTGCCACAAGACACCGAGGGGCGTGGTGGTATGAGGCGTGTTATGATTCCAATTTAAATGGACAACCACTGGTTGGACATAACACAGGTCAGGGTGGAATTAGCTGGAATAAGTGGAGAACTTGGGATTACTCTCTGAAAGCTGCCGAAATGAAGATTCGACCGTAGGCACAAACCAAGACTTAAATGTGTTATGGTGGTCTCTTGGGCTTTGCGAGCAGCACTCCTTATGGCATACATATATACTTCTTAATTGTATTTGTCACGTAGCTTGAGTTTTCATGTAAATCTCAGGCTACACTATCAGCGTTTTTTTTTCTTTTATTTCTGCGGGATGTCGGTTTCCGCATTTTTTTTTCGGTTTCTTCGTTTTTCGTTCCGGGCGGCCTCCGCGTGGACGGTGTTGTTTACGGCATGGTGATGGAGAAGTGATCAAAGTAATTAATTACTCATGTTAGATATAACGTGTTTTCGCCAAACTATAGATAAATAATAATAATAAAATTTCTACAAATAACAATAATATATTTTCGATCATAATCATTTGTCAGCTTAAATACAATCAACATATTTCAAGTAAAATGATTGCTTTTGAAACACATTCTTGTCTTGTTCATTCATGGATCGCCCCATTTTCTTTTTTTTTCATTTTAAAATGTTCCATCGTCACAATATCATTGGCAACAATCACTTCTAATCATTCATCATCTAAAACGAAATCCCGCAGAAACCGAAAAAAGTTCAAAGCTCTGAACTTTTTTCGGTTCCGATTCGTCGGTTTTTGCGGGTTTTCGTTCCATGGAACGCCAGACTGGCAGTATAGCTTGCCCAGTGCATTCGCTCTGGGACGAATTTGACGACGCGAACCGAAATCCCGCAGAAACCGAAAAAACGTCGAAATTCATGCTAGTGTAGGCTTAAGGGTACCTGCTCGCTTAAGAAATGAACTGTGTCCTATCGTAACGCATTGCTGAGCTGCTTCCGTCGTTTCGGTATGCACAAAAAATAATGACACCCATTATGCGTGTTTGCTTGTGCAAAAATGATATACTATTAATGGGTCACACGACTCTCATAAAAAATACAATGCCTGCCAGAGCTACACCTAGTGACTTTGAAACTTTCAGCAATCGATAAAAACAACATTATTTACAAAATGTATATCTCGTAAGTTTGATATCGGTAACTTTGGGTCAGGTCACTTTTGCGATCTCCCCCATTATCAGTCCATGCCCATTGGAGAAAATTAAAAGGCGCCTCTCTTGGACAAATGTCATTTTAAACACGTTCAATCATCGATTAACAAGTAAATATGACACACTGAACCGGAAACTGGCATCCGTGACCCCTTTTTATGCCCCTGAGGTCATCTCAGGTCTCGAATAGTATCTAACAGTTTTTTTTTTTCGCTATAACTGTTGTTGTGATGTCTTCTCACGACGGTATTCATTACAAGCGATTCTGTATGAGAGCAATCTATCGTGTTCGAGACGAACGCGTCGGCAACTGCACTTCCGACTGCCGGCTACCTGTGAACAGCAGCATCCGTTAGCGGCTATTCATAGTCGGAAGCTGTTTGTGGCCGCTTCGAACACCGCGATGTAACGGGCTGATGGGATGGTTAGAGAACGTACCGTCACAGCGGCAAACCAAGTGAGAAGTTGCAGAAAAATATTCGAGGATTTTCACATGAAGCCTGACCAGAAAGTGCGGTGAAGCCCGTGAAGCCCCACCCCGCCCATACGTGCGGGTACTCCTTTACTGGTCGAGTCAGCGCTGTCGGTATAAGTTCCACTCAGTGTTGTCGGTAAACAGAAACCCCGGAGTTTCTGGTCGCTCTCCAGGGGTGATGTTGTACCCTTTCCCGTCGACCCCCTATGTGGGGGAGCCCCGGGAGGGGAATATCAAGTATCCGTCTCTGAGACAAATATCCGCCGACCACCGGCAGCGGTCAGATCCGAATTACCAGCGGATGGTCAGTCTGGGCAGCCACATCCGTTTGTTGGGCCGACTCGTGAAACCGAAACAACATCCGTTCATCATCCGTAGATAACTGTACGGAACACTCCAGACGAACTCGGCGTTTTCAAATGTAAAAACGTCTGGAAGACTGGCATAGTGCCGAACAAAGTTTTAGAGAAGAATTATTTAGATGTATTCAGTTTGCTGCCTAATGTTATACAACATAATCGTATAGCACCTCGAAAATGAGCAATGAACATTGAAGATATGTTGTGCGGTAATAGCCCGTCGACCTAAATGGAATTTCAAAGGCAGGCAATACGACTTACTCAGAGCCAGGCGAGCACCCATGAAGCAACCACCGCTCCCACGTTCCCACCATATAAATCAAACGCACTCGCTGATTCAATTTACGAAACCCGGCCGCACTGCGGGACGGCCTCCTTTCGTCAGAGGACGGTCGGCTCCTCAGAGGCCGTCTCTGTACGGTGGCCCGGGACCTCTGAGACCCCTGGGACCTCCGAGACCCCTGGGAGCCGAGACGCAAGCCTTGACCCTGCCCCGTGCCACGCCGACCCACTCGCAGTGATGGGACGGACTCGTGTCGGGAACTCTCTGTCCCATTATGGTAATCCAGGCCGTGAGTCTCCGTCGGGTCGACAGCTGAGGTGCCCTGACTGAGCGGGAGGCCGGCTCTTAGAAGAGGCGCGTGTCACGAGCTGTGATAAATGCACGCCTAAATATCTTACAGGCAAAGTGAAAGAGTAAAATATGGTGAAACGGCAGTCATGTTTCTGGTTTTGAAGTCCCATTAACCAGGAGCCTGCCACTAATAGGGTTAAGGCTCTCGTTTTAGGGCACCGGAACAGCTAATTTACGACTTTTTGTGCCTTATTTTCATTCAATGACTTACCTATACAACACCAGAGCAACACATATTTTCCCTTGTCGATCTGTCTGGTTGTGATAAAGTTCACGGCAGCTTCCCTGGTTCATTCGCGCTTATTAAGTTTTTTTATGGAAACTGATGTTGAAGATCATATACAATTGAGCAGGCTTATGTTTTTGTTTGCCAGTGGTAAAAAGCGATGTAATCAGCTTCACTTGTGTAATTCGGTGTCTCATGCATGCAAAACTGAAACGGCAGACTCGGCAAACAAAGCTAGAAACAAGGTTATGCAAAGCGAAATGAAGACAAAGAACGTCCTCTATCTCACACATGCTGCTACATCTTTCAGGCTCTAATGGCACCCATTTGCCTTTGACAAATGTTCCATTTAGCAGCAGCTGTCTCTGAGCTCTGTATGTATGAAAGCCACCCTCTCACCCTTGGACACGCTGTGCGTCGGCTCTATACGCACCGGGTTCGAGTCACCCAGACTGTGTGCACGTCAGGCCGCCTCTAAGCGCCGCTCGCCCGAGTCAACACACTCAGTCAATAAACAGGGGATTACATCAAACAAAAACAGCAGGGCGCGCACTCTCCGCCGGACGGTGGGGAAATGAGAGGTGGGAAACCGGAGACGGTTCCAGACGTGGAACCTATCCCCATGCCTAGCGGAGTGTGTGCGTAAGAGGTAAGCACCAAGCACTTCGGTGGATTACACACTACACAGCCTATCATCGGTGTAAAATGTGTAGGATGGAGGTAGTTGGTCCGTGTCGAACCCTCTTCAGCACTCTGAACAATTGAACAAATGCTCACCGACACAGAAAATTGCCGCGATACGTAACTGAGGAACCCACGCCGTTTTAAAGTGCTCTAATTCGAGGGTATCGCGCTATAAAAGCCAGGCTCACAGTCATCATTTCGTCGACTCTCAGAGGGTACAAAAAACTGGCGTGTGTATAAGAAGCAGACTGGACGAATGCATGGAACCGCCGGGCTCTGTCACATATAACCCGAGCCACCCACGACGCAGTCCGGCAGGCGGGTATGAACGGAGCTGACCTTGAGGTCACCGCGGCGGCGCTGACCTGCGTGACACGCCACAGAGGTCACCGAGCGGCTAATACCGTCAGCGGATGTGGTCGGATCCATTCGTGGGATCTCCACCATCGTTAGGGTGGACGCCGCCTTCGACCGAGCTGTAATGTGCCTGCCAGGTCATATTAGACGTCATATAACCTGCCGTTACGAAATGGAGCTGGCGCCGCCGTTAGGAAAGCCCTCCGTCGTGTAGAACGAGGCGCCGAGCTCATCTGCGTGAGAAATCTCAGCCGAGGAGTCCCACTCGAGGCGCGGCTGACAAATGTGCTCTTCGGATGAGTGCCGATGAAAATGTCTCGGACGAAGCGACGGTCACTGATGAACCGTAGCGAATGAAAGCCAACAAACGCTGAATGCGACGATGTGAAAATGGATTCCGAGAGAAAACGTCAAGACAAGGTGTAAAGTGATAGACGAGGAGCACAGAGCCTTTCGTCAGAGACCTGCCGTCATCGTGTCTGTGCTGTCTCGAACTCAGTTTATCACTGAGTACGTCAATTCACTATAGTTGTGTGCCCATGGTGTAGCATTGCATTCAAGCTAAATTTAAGCCCTGTGATCTTAAGCACAAATCACGAACATCTCACAGACGGAATTCATGACCAGTCGCAACATGGTCGTCGTCCTTTTAACCGCGCCCCATGACCGGATGCTTCCGTTCCCAACGGAAGCCGCACAGGGGAGGACAGATTGTGCCCGGCTGGTGGGCAGAGGACTGGAAGGGGGGACAGAGCGTGGCAGAGGGAGGAGGGAGGGCGCTGATTAGCCGGGATTGTTGGCTTCCGGTGAGACCGCGGGTGCTTCTCTCACCCTCTCCCTCTCGGCGAGTGTAGACACAATATCCCTCCGTCTGTGGTGGGGAGGGGAGCGGCAGGGAGGGGCGACACGCGCCGGCCACGCCGAGGGGGGGGAGGGGCAGACAGATCAGTTGTAGCTCGTCCCCACCCCATGGAGGGCTCAATGAAGCCGCCGGCAGACGGCAGATGGGCGCCCGACGCACTCTGTGAAAGGTGGGGTGGGTAGTGGAGCAGGGGTCTGTGGCCGCTGATTTAAGGGCTGTGATCATAGACCATTAGAGGGAGCGTGCATAACACGTTCACAACCGCTGTGCTTGTGACACGTCGTCGTCCCTGTGCAGATGGAGGTGTCCATGTTTGACTCTGTGGGTGGTCTGAACGGGCATAATGAGGCCTGTAGCAGGAAGCGGTTAGACCCGGGAACTATCACATGAAACGCTTGGTAAATAGGATAACGCACTAGTTGCATTAGGTACTTAGTTGCGACACCTATATGTTGCTGTGTGTCATTAAATGTTATTGCGGTTAATAGGATGACTTTGGCAGCAGAAGGAGTGAGTTATCGAATTTTTTACTATATCAGCTGTGGGCCAACATCAACTCCTGAGGAAGTGGCAAGGGTCTGCTCAACAAACTAAGGCACTGCACTAGCTAGCAATTCGTCAAACTGTCCGTTTGCACATACCTAACTACGATACGAAGCCCAACAGAATAGAAATAAGAAAGGAGAAAAAGTGACATGTAAGGCTTCGCGTACTGCTTTCTGTAAACACTCTCTAGCTGTAAAAAGAAGTCTGAAGGTTTAAGAATAAAGAAAGTCGGTATGTCTCGGCACCCGCCAGGACCTCGAGAGGTGTCGCTCGGCATGAAAAATCGACCGATGCAGGCGACACCTTGTGGGCATACAACAAAGCTGGACGGTGGCCAGTGTGTAGGTGTCGCTGTAGCTCATTGTCTCCATCCTCCAGCCTGCTGGCTGAGGCTGGAGGATTTGAGTGCATGAGACACCCGCGCCCGCCACCAAGCGGCCATGTGCTGCACCAACGCTTCTAGGCTCTCTCACCCCACAACGCCTGTCGCCCATATATGTAGCCAAGAACTACGGTGAAATGCATTCGCACCTATAGGTAGAGACACACCGTTCCGTGCTTCTATCCTCAGGAAACTGAAATCCTTCTCCTCCACGCCGCTACCCCCTCCGGGCTGGACAGGCAACTTTATCTCATGCGGGCTGCTCCCTTGGAGCGGCACCGCTGCTCCCGAGGGAGCGCACCCCGTAGCCGGGTGCAGTGAGTGCCTTGGGGCTGGGTGGCCTGTCCTCTGGACGGGCTCAGCCCGGCGACTCACTAGGGTGCCTGCCCAGACCAATGTCTCCCCCTATATCCTATCATCCTCCCGGCTCTGAAATGGTCTAATTGGACCGAAAGGGCCTAACCCAGCAAAACAAAACAAAATAGGTAGAGTCCAAGAGCGGCATACAAGGCATGAGTAACAACAGGGTAACTTTTAAAGGGGGAAGG